TTTATGACTGGTCATAAACATCGGTATTGCCTTTCCCGAATGTTGAAAGCTTTGGATGTCTGAAAATTCCCCATCATTCATGAATACTTCCATGTTTAAAAATATGCGGCTTGGTCACTGACATTTCTACACAGATTTAGGTGTTCTGTGTCTGAGCTTCTCGACACAAATATTATTCTCCTCAGAATATTTCCACTATAAATATTTATTCATGAAAAATGCTTGGAAAATGAAAATGACAAATTCCAGAAGAGCCCCCCGCGGCCGAGTATAATTGATGCCAGGGCCCACTACTGGGCCGCGGCCCGGCGGTTGAGAAGCACTGTTCTAGACACTGAATTGATACATATCACTGAAATTCCATCGCAGAATGTTGGTTCAATATGGTGGAGCCTGAATAAGCGATGAATATAAGCGAAGACTGCAACGAAAATTCTGACGATTCTTCCGAACACTGCAAAACGAGTTGTGTCACGACGCTAGTGCACTCTGCAGGTATTCCAATGCAAACTATAGCAGACATACTGTCACAATGATGTGTCACGAAGACTCGCTCTACCGAAAATTGTGCGCGGTGGGTCGTACCAGAACTGACCACAGTTCTACGCTTTTCAAGGGAAGGACAGCGTGTAGTGATACATGATGAAACTTGCATCCGCTATGTCGCTCCAGGTGCCGAAAGGAGAAAACAGAGTCGTGCCGACATAGCTGGGTTGTCTGGTTCAGTTAGCTCGCGTCTCAGTCTCTCTATGCCGGGAACCAGTCACAATATATTAACTTTGAACCAATGCATAATCTATCTATCTAGAGTAGCGGCTCCGGTCTAGAAAACCGAGATTAAAGGCCGTGGGGTTTATTTTTTTATTATTAAAGAAAGAAAATATTGTAAATACAAAAGAGACCTAGGCAATGCCCACCCGGCCTTCTGTAGCACATCCTTATAAACTTCTAATTTTATAATAGCGGTCATCCCTCGATTCTTAATGTAGATCTTAACTTAAATCTGAGACTCTCCTGTTAATAATCAGTGCAATTACTTCTTTTACTTTCCTTGCATATCTATTTTATATAAATATAGGAATGTTGTTTATGAAGTAAGAGATGCCTTGCACAAATATTTTTTCTTCTAGCCTTAAGAGTTCTACAACTGATTTTGGGTATTCTTTTTTGCTGCTCTCAGAAAGAATATCTATCATTGTTGCCCGTTGGCCCTCGTACAGCTTACAGTCCCGGAAGAAATGTTCCTCCGTTTGCAGTCATCACCACATTCGCATTCGGCCGTGGTCACAACGTTAAATCTGTTTAGGCTTGCTTTAAGACTCCTGTGGTCTGCTGTCATACGGTTTATTGACACGAAGGCACGGCGGTTCATTTTTATCTGTCGGAACCACGGAGACGAGCCGTTCCTGTAGCACCTATCAAAGTAGCTTTCTCCTCTGTCCTGTTTGTTGTTTTGACAAAAACTGCGAAGTTCTTCTTTGCCTTTCTTTTTTCACTGGGTTTTAAGATCTGCTACTGGTAATAGTAGTTGACTACCTCTGCCTTCCTTGATTGCTTGCTTTGCCTCCAAGTGGGCCCTCATTAACGTCCACTCCGCAGTGCCCCGGGATCCAGCAAAATTGGATTCGTTTCCTCGCGATTCCAGTCTCTCCATTTTATCTTTAGCACGTGTGTAATGTGCGTGTGTTGCTTATTGTAGAGGATCGTTGCGCTGACCACGCGGCACCCTCTATCCGCTAAAGTTGGCACTAACTTTGCCGACAAGCGGTGGTCGCTCGGTCGGTATATTTCGCTTGCAGACTAAAGCCACGGAGTTTGTTGTTATAGCCTATCTACCTACCTACCTATCTAATCCTACGGGCCGTGCCATATCTCATGCCGCTAGTCGCCGGCTTCCCACTGTGGCGGCCCGGCTTCGATCCCAGATTAGGATATGAGAGATTTGTGGTACTTTGGTTTCCCTTTCCAATTCTCACTGCACTCAATACTCCATAATAGTCATAATCCACCATTCGGGACTTATACAATAGGCCTAATAGTGGCAGACGTACCACGTGGACAGTCTCATCCAATTTAAAAAATTAATAAATAAAAAAACTAACTTCTTGGAGCTGAATCCCTCCTGAGAATCTATCGGAGATGGCCTCCAGATATGCAAGGTGCGGTGGTTGCGAATATATTGAATATGATGTCGCGAAGAATGGGTGGTCCTCCAGCTTGAGGGTTGGGCGTGGGGATTTTTGTTTCGCCACAATAGAAAGAATTTGTTATGAAATATTACGCAGGACTTGGGACTTGGACTGATTCTTTGGAACAACGTAAGCAAATACATAATCTGTGTATTTAAAATGTGTAATTTATGAAAGTAACTGAAATTAAAATATTGGTTTACAAAGAAATGAAATGTATTGTCAAAAGATCAATTTTACTTTTACATAAAAACTTTCTTCACGTTTTGAGGAAGAATCAGCATGCGGGTCGTGACCGATTCGAAAATGACAGTTTGTGTAACAACGGATTTCAGGTGTACAGCCGCTTCGATTCGGGACTTATCTTGTTAGAATTCCTGCTGGGTCGTGGATATCTACAGTTACTTCCGGCGAATACTGTGATACTACACTCCAATATGGCAAAAGAAGGCACGGCCATTTCAATTTATAATTTACATACCCATTCCCTCATTCTACTCAAAGCATCAAACTTGCATTTGATAAAGCATTATTAAACAACTTATATGGGATAGCGCAGTCGGGGTAGCGACTGGCTACGGGCTGGCCGACTGAGGGGTCGGATTTCGAGTCCCGGTGGGGGAAAGAATTTTCTCTTCTCTAAGTTGTCAAGACTAGCCGGTCACGGTAGCCGAGCGGTCTAAGGCATGCACTGTCTTCGCTCGCTCGGAAGCCGGGATCGTGGGTTCGAATCCCACTCAGGGCATGGATGTTTGTGTGCGTTTTTCTGTGTTTGTCTACAGGTAGAGGCCTTGCGACGAGCTGATCACTCGCCCAAGGAGTCCTACCGTATGTGTAAGATCTAGAAAAACCGAAGTGAACGGAGTTCATGGAGGTAGGCCTAGGCCCACTGGGGCTGTAGTGCCAAGGAAACAAACAAAAAAAAAGTCGTCAAGACTGGCTCTGGGGTCCACCCAAACTCCTATCCAATAGGTACCAGGGGCTCTTTCCTCGGGGGTAAAGCGGCAGGGGCGTGAAACTGACCAGTCACCTCCAACAAGTGCCGAGGTCATGGAAATGTAGATCTATACATCCACTCCCCCATACGCCTTCATGGCGTAGTGCTTAGTTATGTACAGAGACAACTTTACCTTTTTTTATGCAAACATTCAGGGTGGTTCAAGTACTACGAAGCGATCCGACAAAAGTAAACAAGTAATTACGCCGTAATATCGATAAGGACCGAAAACTGTGCTGCAAGATTTTACGTATTTCCTTAGAACTGAAATTCACTTATTATGACACAATATTACATAGCGCGCTGTACCTAGTCAGAAAATATGTTTATTTTATTTCACATTCTACATTCTAAATGAATGTTTTGTGTCTTAACGAGGTCCATATGCTGTACATCATGCAGACGACGGAATATTTTGTGCAATAAATCTTTCTATAAAAGTTTCAACAGTTTATTTGTCACTTCATGTTGGACTGTATGAACCAAAATTAGTTTAAATCGACAAACTTTACTGTAATTTTCCAGTACCAATTTTCGTTGTCAACAATTCCATACTTTCGGAAATGACAAATATAATTAGACGGACGAAAGCGACTCTTAACTTATTATATTCTCTGAAAACCCCAATGGCAAAGAAAATATAAAACTATTTAAATGCTTTTTACCCTCACCAAATAACTTACGAAAGAATTTTCATAAACACTGGTATGACAATTACAACATTGTTCAGTACCAAGCTGTTAACTTTCAGTTCGCTACCATTGACAATTAAGGAGCCGGGATAGCGTAGTTGATATAGCGACTGGCTACGGGCTAGATGATCAACGGATCGGTGTTCGAGTCCCGGTAAGTTTAAGAATTTTCTCTTCTCCACGACGTCCAGACCGGCACTGGGTTCCACCCAACCTCCTAACCAATGGGTAGCGGGGGCACCTTCCCCGGGGGTAAAGCAGCCGGGGCGTGAATTTGACCATTCAACTTAAGCTAGTGCCGAGGTCAAGAGAATGTGGATCTAAACAGCCACATAACCATACGCCTTCGTTGCGTAGTGCTTAATTTGTTAAGCACAGGGACAACTTTACCTTACCACTGACAATTACACTGCGGAGGGCGCAAGAAGATGAGCTTAATTACTTAATGGAGCTCATGGCACCAAGCAGGACGGGGGCACAGCGATAACGTTTAACATTTATATTCAAGCATATTTACAGCGAATCTCATTCAATCAATCGGTGTTCTAACTGAAGTTCTTGTGGTTACAACAAATCTCTCCAGAGAGATTCTAAAATATTACACGGCCATAAGCACAACATTACCACGCAACAGCAATGATACGCAATCTTCTCATTACATCTAGATCTATAAAATGTTTCATTTGAAACTGTTCCAACAAATAGTCGGACTGTTAGAGAAGATAGAACATTCAGCACGAAGCTGGACTCACCTCGACTTTCTCCTTGGCGATGATTCGTCGGGTTTCTTCTGCCTTCGCTCGGGAGTGCTGTTGCGAAGTTGGAGTCAGAGTGCTAGACGAGGAGCTGTACGTCATAGTCTCGCTACTCTCCAATGAATCATCGTATAATAGCTGACGGCCCGCCAGATCCTCCTCAATCCCAGGTCTCTCATCGAAACTTCTCCTTCTTTGTGCTGTTCCCTCAGCAAACCAATGTACTTCCGGGTCTCTTCCCTCAACTTTTACTTCTTCCTTCTTGTTAAGTACAGAATCCTGTACTGATCTATCAGTGATCTTACTGGTATCGACAGCACGGGTTCGGCTTCTCTTGCGGCGGGACAAATTCTCCACTTTCGTTGAGCTATCGGCGTCATCTTCTTCCTGCTCTTTCTTCTTACGTTCACCTCCTTCACGTTTTTTCTTCTTACGCTCACTTTCTTCTTGTACATTCTTCTTAAGTTCCGTTTCTTCCTCTTCCTTCTTCTTTCGCCCAGCTTCTTCTTGTTCTTTCATCTTACGCTCAGCTTCTTCCTCTTCCTTCTTCTTGCGATCAGCTTCTTCCTGTTCCTTCATCTTACGTTCAGCTTCGTCCTGTTCCCTCTTCTTATGCTCAGCTTCTTCCTGTTCCTTCTTCTTACGTTCTGCTTCTTCCTGTTCCTTCTTCTTATGCTCAGCTTCTTCCTGTTCCTTCTTCTTACGCTCAGCTTCTTCCTGTTCTTTTTTCTTACGCTCAGCTTCTTCCTGTTCTGTCTTCTCACGCTCAGCTTCTTCATGTTCCTTCTTCTTACGTTCAGCTTCTTCCCGTTCTTTCTTCTTACGATCAGCTTCTTCCTGTTCCTTCTTCTTACTTTCAGCTTCTTCCTGTTCCTTCTTCTTATGCTCAGCTTCTTCCTGTTCCTTCTTCTTACGCTCAGCTTCTTCCTCTTCCTTCTTCTTACGCTCAGTTTCTTCTTGTTCTTTCTTCTTACGCTCAGCTTCTTCATGTTCCTCCTTCTTACGTTCAGCTTCTTCCTGTTCTCTTTTCTTACGCTCAGCTTCTTCCTGTTCCTTCTTCTTACGCTTAGCTTCTTCCTCTTCCTTCTTCTTACGATCAGATTCTTCTTGTTCTTTCTCCTTACGCTCAGCTTCTTCCTCTTCTTTCCTCTTACGCTCGGCTTCTTCTTGTTCCTTCTTCTTACGCTCAGCTTCTTCCTGTTCTTTCTTCTTACGCTCAGCTTCTTCCTGTTCTTTCTTCTTACGCTCAGCTTCTTCCTGTTCTTTCTTCTTACGCTCAGCTTCTTCCTGTTCTTTCTTCTTACGCTCAGCTTCTTCCTGTTCTTTCTTCTTACGCTCAGCTTCTTCCTGTTCTTTCTTCTTACGCTCAGCTTCTTCCTGTTCTTTCTTCTTACGCTCAGCTTCTTCCTGTTCTTTCTTCTTACGCTCAGCTTCTTCCTGTTCTTTCTTCTTACGCTCAGCTTCTTCCTGTTCTTTCTTCTTACGCTCAGCTTCTTCCTGTTCTTTCTTCTTACGCTCAGCTTCTTCCTGTTCTTTCTTCTTACGCTCAGCTTCTTCCTGTTCTTTCTTCTTACGCTCAGCTTCTTCCTGTTCTTTCTTCTTACGCTCAGCTTCTTCCTGTTCTTTCTTCTTACGCTCAGCTTCTTCCTGTTCTTTCTTCTTACGCTCAGCTTCTTCCTGTTCTTTCTTCTTACGCTCAGCTTCTTCCTGTTCTTTCTTCTTACGCTCAGCTTCTTCCTGTTCTTTCTTCTTACGCTCAGCTTCTTCCTGTTCTTTCTTCTTACGCTCAGCTTCTTCCTGTTCTTTCTTCTTACGCTCAGCTTCTTCCTGTTCTTTCTTCTTACGCTCAGCTTCTTCCTGTTCTTTCTTCTTACGCTCAGCTTCTTCCTGTTCTTTCTTCTTACGCTCAGCTTCTTCCTGTTCTTTCTTCTTACGCTCAGCTTCTTCCTGTTCTTTCTTCTTACGCTCAGCTTCTTCCTGTTCTTTCTTCTTACGCTCAGCTTCTTCCTGTTCTTTCTTCTTACGCTCAGCTTCTTCCTGTTCTTTCTTCTTACGCTCAGCTTCTTCCTGTTCTTTCTTCTTACGCTCAGCTTCTTCCTGTTCTTTCTTCTTACGCTCAGCTTCTTCCTGTTCTTTCTTCTTACGCTCAGCTTCTTCCTGTTCTTTCTTCTTACGCTCAGCTTCTTCCTGTTCTTTCTTCTTACGCTCAGCTTCTTCCTGTTCTTTCTTCTTACGCTCAGCTTCTTCCTGTTCTTTCTTCTTACGCTCAGCTTCTTCCTGTTCTTTCTTCTTACGCTCAGCTTCTTCCTGTTCTTTCTTCTTACGCTCAGCTTCTTCCTGTTCTTTCTTCTTACGCTCAGCTTCTTCCTGTTCTTTCTTCTTACGCTCAGCTTCTTCCTGTTCTTTCTTCTTACGCTCAGCTTCTTCCTGTTCTTTCTTCTTACGCTCAGCTTCTTCCTGTTCTTTCTTCTTACGCTCAGCTTCTTCCTGTTCTTTCTTCTTACGCTCAGCTTCTTCCTGTTCTTTCTTCTTACGCTCAGCTTCTTCCTGTTCTTTCTTCTTACGCTCAGCTTCTTCCTGTTCTTTCTTCTTACGCTCAGCTTCTTCCTGTTCTTTCTTCTTACGCTCAGCTTCTTCCTGTTCTTTCTTCTTACGCTCAGCTTCTTCCTGTTCCTTCTTTTTACACTCAGCTTCTTCCTGTTCCTTCTTCTTACGCTCAGCTTCTTCCTGTTCCTTCTTCTTACGCTCAGCTTCTTCCTGTTCCTTCTTCTTACGCTCAGCTTCTTCCTGTTCCTTCTTCTTACGCTCAGCTTCTTCCTGTTCCTTCTTCTTACGCTCAGCTTCTTCCTGTTCTTTCTTCTTACGCTCAGCTTCTTCCTGTTCCTTCTTCTTACGCTCAGCTTCTTCCTGTTCTTTCTTCTTACGCTCAGCTTCTTCCTGTTCCTTCTTCTTACGTTCAGCTTCTTCCTGTTCTCTTTGCTTGCGCTCAGCTTCTACCTGTTCTCTTTTCTTGCGCTCAGCTTCTTCCTGTTCTTTATTTTTACGTTCAGCTTCTTCCTGTTCTTTCTTCTTACGCTCAGCTTCTTCCAGTTCCTTCTTCTCACGCTCAGCTTCTTCCTGTTCTTTTTTCTTACGCTCAGCTTCTTCCTGTTCCTTCTTCTTACGTTCAGCGTCTTCCTGTTCCTTCTTCTTACGTTCAGCTTCTTCCTGCTCCTTCTTCTTATTGTCAGCTTCTTCCTTCTTCTTACGTTCTTCTTCCTCCTGTTCTTTTCTCTTGCGTTCGGCACCTTCATACTCCTTCTTACGTTCAGCTTCTACTTGTTCCTTTTTCCAGCTCTCAGCTTGTTCCTGTTCTTTCGTCTTGCACTCGGATTCCTTGTGTCCATATTTCTTACTTTCATATTCTACCACTTCTTTCTTGTTATGTTCTGCTTCCTCCATATCCTTATTGATAACTTCATTTTCTTTCTGTTCCTTCTTCTGTGGTTCATCATCAATCAAGTCCTTCTTCTGAGCAGTTTCTTCAGTTTCGTTTATACAAGTAACATCTTTTGGTTCTCCCTTCTGACCCTCAGGCTCTTTGTGCTCTTTCTTCTCCAGTTCATATTGCATTCGCTCTGTCTTCTTCTGCTCAGTTTCTTCTGGCATTTTCTCGTCCCTTAGACCAATTTCAGCCTTGTCCTCCTCGTCCTTTTGTTCTTTCGTTTTAGGTTTAGTTTCTTCTTCCTCTCTGCCTTTGCTTTCCTTTTGCTTCTTCTCGCGTTCGTATTTATCTTGTTCCATGTTGCTTTCAGCTGATTTTTCACCTTTAATCTCTTCACATTTATCTATTTCGTGTTTGGTACTTTCAGCCTCTGTCTCTTCAATTTTCTCTTTTTCCATACGTACATCTTCTTCGTCCCATGATTTCTTTTTTTCAACTTCTTCCTTTATCATACGATCAGATTCTCTTTGGTCTCTGTTTTTACATGGTGCTTTTTCTTCTATATTCTCAAGTTCTTTGTCTTTTTGTTTCTCCTCCCACTCAAATTCTGATTTCTGTTTCTTTCTCTGCTCACTTTCCTCTTTTTCCTGTTTAGGAAATTCAATCTCTTTTGCTTGCCTTTCTAGCTCATATTCTTCTTCTCCTTTTCTCATTGCATCTTCTTTTTTCTTACTTTCAGTTTCTTCGTTTTCTTTCTTCCCGCGTTCTGTTTCTTCTTGTTTCTCCTTCTCATGTTTAGAATCTATTTTTTCTTTCTTCTTCATTTCAACTTCATCATCTTCCGCTATGCGGCCTCGTCTATCTTCTTCCATCAACCCAGTTCCTGCTGCTTCTTCTCTTTGTTTTCTTTCGTCTTTTCCCTGTAACACTTCCTGTTCTCTCATCATTGCTGATCCTCTGTCTTCTTCATGAGAGACCAGCGCTACTTGCAAATCAGTTGTTTCAGTTTCCAGCTCGGACATTCTGCCTTCAAGAGGTGTCTGTTGCTGTACAACAGCCACGTCGCACCTAAGTTCATATCGCGAAAACGCAGCGGACTCCAGCTCTCTTAGGTCCGTCCTGTCAGAGAGAGTCTCAACATCGCCTTCTAGTGCTCGCTGTTCTTCAACACGAATTGCTCCAAGAACCGGCGAAGCTTCAGTTGAGCTCACAAATGTGGGCAAACCAGAAATATGTGTAGCATCATCAGACAAAGGCCCTTCAAGCAATTCCTGCTGTTCTATCAGTACAATGCCCCTCTGTAATTCCTGGAGAGGCTCAGCTAGCTTCATTATTAAAGACATATTTCCTTTTTCTGACACCACACCTTCATCACATTCAAGCACTGTCTGCTTCTCTATCAAAGCAATGCTTCTTTGTAGTTCCAAGATAGGCTTTGCTAACGTCTTCAGGACTGAAAAGCTTTCCATAGGAACCTTTGCTACCTCAGTTTCAAGTGTAACTTGTTGCTCCACTTGTAACAAGGCTCTGTGCAATTCTTCGACTGGCTCAGCAAGTGTCTTTAAAACTTCCACATCTTCCTTTTCTGATATTACCTCATCATGCTCCACAAGCGCTTGCTGCTGGATCACAGCTATACCTTTAAGCAATTCTTGTACCGGGTGCGCCAATGTTTGCAACACTGATGCACTAGTCTTGTCAGAAAACGATTCTACTCCTCCTTCGTAAACTGCACACTCTTGTACCAGAGCAATACCTCTGTGGAGTTCTTGAATAGGTTTAGCTAGAACTTTCAAAATGGAGACATTAGTTTTCTCCGATATTGCTTCTTCCGTTGCTTCAAGCGCAATTTGCTGCTGTATTTCAGCTATTCCCTTCTCCAGTTCCTCCAAAGGTTGCGCTAAAGTCTGTAACACAGATATCCTTGTTTGATCTGACATTTCTTGTACTCCGGACTCTAACACAGCTTGCTGCTGAACCAAAGCAATACCCCTCTGAAGTTCATGAACAGGATGGGCCAAAGTATTTAGTAATGACAAGCTTATTTCTGACACTAGCTGACCTTTTGCTTCAAGTGCTACTTGTTGTTCGATCTGAACCAAATTTTGCTCCAGCTCACATAACGGATGAGCAAGTGCCTTCAAAACCGACTTACTTATATCTTCCGATAAGGGCTCCTCAATTGGTTCATACACTGTCTGTTGTTGTATCACTGCAATGCTCTTCTGAATTTCTTCGATGGGCTGTGTAAGAGCTTTAAGAACTGAAATTTCTGTCTTTTCAGGCAAACGCTCTTCCCTGGCTTCCATCTCTATTTGCTCTTCTATCAGGGCCAGTCCTCGTTGTAACTCTTGCAACGACCGCGACAGTGTTTCAAGCATGGAGACAAAGTTATCGTCAGATATTTCGATCCCTTTGGCTTCTATAGCAGCCTTGTAATTGATAAGGCTTAAGCTTCTCTCAAGATCTTGTATAGAATACACCAAGGTTTCCGTCACGGATAATCCAGTGTCTTCAGACGTGTTTCTCTCGCCCGCTTCGAGGGCCATCTGTTGTTCAACCAGACCCAAATTCGTGTGGAGTTGTTCCAAAGGTTCCAATATTGCTCCAAGCACAGACACACCCAGTCTTTTCGAAAGAGGTTCTTCACGTGGTTCAAGAGAGGCTTGGTGCTCTATAACAGAGAGGGTCTCCTGTAATTGGTGAATCGGTTCGACAAGATTGTTTAATACACTTATATCTGACCTGTCGGACATTTGTATCTCTCGTGGTTCCAGTAGAACCTGCTCTTGTATTTCAGTTAAACCTTTATGAATTTCGAGCATCGGTTGTACTAGAGCGTGTAGCATTGATACAGCCCTTGTGGGTTCTCCACCAGGTTCTAACAAGGCATTCTCTTCTATCCGTGTGAGCCCTCTCTGTAATTCCAGAACGGGACTGGCTAATGACGTTAGCACTGGAACAACGGTCTCTCTTTCTGCCACGTTCTCTAGCAATACTGCGTGTTGTACACTTGCAAGGTTCTTCTGAAGTTCCTTCAGTGGTTGTGCTATAGTCTCCAAAATGGATATAGCGTTTTTGTCGGAATGTGGTACCTCTACATCTTCTAAAACTGCCTGTTCCTCTACAAGGGCTATGTTTCTATGAATTTCTTGAATTGAATGTGCAACGGCCTGAAGAAGAAGATGAAAATCCGACTTCTCGGCTATAGGCTCCATTGATGGCTCCATTACTATGTGTTTCTGAATAACTGATAAGCCTTTCTGTAAATCTTGCAATGATTGGGCCAATGTTAGAAATACTGTCGGTGTCTCAGCTTCTTGAACAATATGACACTGCATTAGTGCAATGCGTTCCTGTAGTGTTTTTAATGGGTAAGCTAACTTCTCAAGAGTGGAAGCACCAAGCTTCTCTGAGGCAATTTCCGAGCCCGTTTCCAAAACTAGTCTTTGTTCCACTTGAGCCAGACCTCTAATCAGTTCTTGAAGTGGTTCAGCAATAGCCTCTAAAATGAGTATGCCCGCTCTGTCTGGCATTGGTTTGTCTCTGGGCTCAAAAATTTGATCTTCGACCTCGATTAATCCCTTATGAAATTTCAGTAATGGCTTCGCTATTTCTCGGAAAGCTGACACACCAGCGAGCTCAGTAAGCGTTACCTCTGTTGTAGCTACAGCAAAGCTATGCTCAATCGTGGATATCCTATGGTGTAGTTCTTGTACAGACTGGGTTACTTTTTCCAGCGCTGCCAGGCTTGCAGCCTTCTCGAATATAGGAGCTTCTTCCAGAGTCATAACGTTCTGCTCTTCGACTACAGTCAGTCCTCGTTGCAGTTCCTGCAGGGGCTGAGCTAAAGTTTCCAATATTGTAAGCCCATTACGTTCAACAGCATCAGCCTGAAAGATAGCTTCCTGTTGTACTACACTGATACCCCTCTGAAGGTCCATAATAGGTTCCACTAACACTTCTGCAGCCTTCTCTGCCATGGGCTTCAGGTCCTGTTCTACCGCGAGGTTTTGTATTAGTATCAGCCCTCTCTGTAATTCTTGTAGTGGCTGTGTCAGAGTGCTGAGTGCAGTCAAACTGGATACTTCTAACGTCAGTTCTTCTTCTTGTTCAAATTGGATCTTTTGTTCCACAAGATTCAGTTCCCTTTGTAGTTCCTTGAGTGGCTCTGCGAGTTCTCCCAGCTTCGTAACACTAACTTTTGCAGGATCTTGCTTAGTATCCAGAAATACTTGATTCTCTATCGCGGCAACACCAAGCTGCAGTTCCTCAACAGATTCTGAAATTCTCTCTAGAATCAGTAGGCTCGACTCCTTAGGTGCCACGGCTGCAATAGCCATTTGTAAGCACTGGAGAGGCTGAAGTAATGATTCAAATACTGCGAGACTAGGACAGCTAGCTACTGCTTCTGTCGCTTGCTCTTGAACTGCAATAATGCATTTTTCTAAATCTTGGATAGAGTTCAGTAAGGTTTCCACTGGTTCTATGATTTCTGGGTCGGATTTCTTCACTGCAAGAATAAGAAAGTCTTTAGTTTTAGATACTTCACTCTTCAGTATATCCAGTGCTTCTACAACCTCCTTCACAGCTGTGATTGTAGCACGTTCAGATACAAATGTTTCACTTTCTTCTACAAAGATATTCTGCACTGCCTCCAGCAATACCTGCTTAACCTGGAAAAGAGGTACTGCCAATTCTGCCAGCTTTGATATTGCCTTTACCCCTGGCTGTATCTGGACTTGCAGCGTATTCTCTCTGTGTATTTTTACAATTGTTTCCTGTATAGTTTGAATGGAATACACTAGATGTTTCGCAGTCGAGAGACTTTTCTTGTCCATTCTTGGTTTTAGTGCTGCCCCCAGAACTGCAAACTGCTCTATTTTAACCAGTGCCTCAGCAAAGTCCTGCAGTGGTTCCACCAAGCATTCCATGACAGTAAAGTTACCAACGCTGGTTTCTGAATTAGATTTTTCTAGCAAGACGTCAGTGGTTTCTTTCAGACGCCTTATAGTCCGACCTAGTAACTGATGTGTTCCAACACTCACGTTCTGTGATGTTAACTTGTCTGTTGTTCCAGAAAATAGCATTTCCTCTATTTGCATTAACTGATTCTTGAATTCAGACAGGGGTAACATCAGCTTATCTAGAGATTGTGTTGTATCTTGAGTAATTAACACATCCTCTCCCTTTGATTTAAATTCTTGTATCTCAATGTCAGTTAGACACAGTTGCAATTCCGATAATGGCTGAGCCAATGTCACAATGCTTAGTCTGACTTTGTCATGAACCGTTTTAACTGATGTTACTTCCAGAGTGTTAAGCCTGGATATAGATTCAATGACATGCTGTAAATTTTGAAGTGATGTCTGAAGCGCCTTTAATACCGAAATATTTTCCGAAAGTGATTTCTCTGGTTCAATTTCGATTAGAAATTCTTGTCCTATTTGTGCTAGTCGTCTTTGCATTTCGTCAACTGGCTCTGCGAGAGTCTCAAGCACCGTTTGGCTGTGTAGTCCTGTTACGAACATAGTCTCTGTTTCCACTGCTGCTTGATGTTCCGTCATTTCTAAACCTCTCTGCAGTTCCTGGAGAGGGTGCGAAATACTCTCCATTATGGAGTGACATACAGCTTCTAATGCAGCTTCCTGTTCTACCTCTGCTAAGCCTTGTCTGAGTTTGTGCAGAGGATGACTCAAGGTTTCCAATATGGAAGCGCTACCTATGTGAGACGAGGTTTTTCCAAAGTCTTCGTACACAATGTGCTGCCGGAGTACAGCAATTCCCCTCTGCAGTTCATGAAGGGACTGAGTTATCATTTGCAGGGCAGGCTGGATGGACCGTTCTGGCAGTTCCTTCACAACGGCTTCAGATATATCTGTATGTCTGCATTGAGCGAACTGTTGAATGAGAGCGATGTCCCTTTGCAGTTCCTGCACAGGCTGAGCCACATTTTCTAGTATAGAGAAACTCGTTCTCTCTAGAAAAGGTTCTCCCATTTCCAGCTCTACTTGCTGTTCTACTAAAGCTAGACCTTTATGGAATTCTTGTATTGGTTGGGAAATTGTTTGCAGTATTTTATCTGGTGTATTATCTTCGCACGAAATATTTAAAGCTGTCTGCTCCTCTACTAAAGCTAAGCTGTCTTCAATTGGTTGAGTCAGAGCCTCCAAAACCGACAGACTTGACTTTGCGGATCCAGGTTCAAATCCAGATTGCAGCTTTACTTGTTCTTCGACTGAAGCAAGTCCTTTCTGTATATCTTGCAAAGAATGAGTGAGAGACTCAATCAGCGAACTTTGCTCCCTTTCTTTCGTCGTTTTCATTTCTGTTGTGGAATGCAGTATCGGGAGATCGACATTAGTGGAGGAGGGAATAAGTTCCTTGCTCGTCCTCTCAACTGCCTTTTCACTGTCTCGTACATTTCTGGCCTCCACGGAAGTAGGCCGATGGATTTCATGGAGTTTCCTCATTACGCTTCCTTCTGTCTGCACCTCGGTGGATACGCGTCCTTCTTTGCCGTTAGATCTCTTAATTTCTTCGAGTTTGGCCGTCCTTAAAACGTCACCTTCTTCAGGAAGAGAGTCTCGTCTCGATAACTTTTGTTGTTCTTGTATTTTCTTCATGTGAGATTCAATCGAACCAATCTCTGAAGAAGACATTTTCTTTTGCGACTGTTTTTGTTCTAACTTCGGAGCAGAAATCGATGTCTCGCTGCTAGTTCTATCGTCCCCACTCTCCTCGAAAGATCCTCCTTGTCCACTTTCTATCGATCTCTCATTTCTGCTCTTGGACCCTTTCCTGGCAGGACGTTCAGGTTTAGGGCCTGGCGGTTCCCCTGCAATTCGTTCATCTGTACTCTCCTCGAATGACCTTCCCAGTCCGCTCTCTACAGAACGGATTTTTTTCTTCATTGATTCTGGCTGCGAGCTTATTTCCTTGGTTTCGACTTGTTTAGGCGACAATTCCTGCCCTACTTCAACCACCTGCGACTCCATATCCTTCTTCTTTGTGTACATTTCTGTATTCCTCACTAGTTCAGCCGGGCTGCTCTTCGTTGACTGGGGTTCGTATGTCATCTGCTGTTCAATAGCTACAATTTGAAAGGCTCTGGCTTCTCCTGAACTTCCCCGGGCACTAGCATAAGAATCCTGCTCAGATATGTACGCCACTGCATCAGTGAAATGCTCACTTCGATCTTCATCTTCCTTTGGTGCGGGGCCTCCCTTTGTTGGGGATATGCTGTGAAATGTATCACTGTCCTTTGGCTGCTCTTTAACTGGCGACAGGCTGTGAAAAGTGTCACTCTCAGGCTTCGCACCATTGCACGCTTCGGTTTTCTTTCTGGGAGGTCGTTTGGGTGGAACTTGTTCTTCAGCGCCATCATAGGGAACGGTAGGTGCCAGAGCGCGTTCTAAGAATTCAGTGTTGAGTTTTTCGAATATAGCAGCGTCATCTTGCTCAACATCCTGAGGCAACGGAGGGGCCTGCTGTCCATTATCATCGGTGATGGAAAACTCCTCTAAATCGGCGTCCGTGCGAAGATCGTCTTCAGCAGAAGAGAAGGCGTCATGAGTGACGTCAATGACGATGGCTTCCATAAGAAGGTTTCCAGTGTTGGAACTCTCCTTGACAAATCTTAGGGGCGGTAGTTCCACCACATTGTGTTCTGTGGGAATCAGAATTGTTGTGGTTATTAAAAGAGTGCAATTGTTGTTGAAGGTAAAATTTCATGAAGGCAATATTCTCTAAAGTTTTGTGATGTGAACTTGTTTATTATACCAGTAATTGATGGAGCACTGTTTATTGTTTCACCTGTATCTGACATATATGCGCGACGTTTCGAGAGTTGGATTTACACAGTCTTCAGGCGATGATAATGCCAGTATTTCCTTTATTAGGTCTAGGATTAATGGTAACAGTTAGGACCGAACGCGAGACCTTTTGGACACAAGGTCTGCAAGCAAACCATTAGATCATCGGAGCGACCCTGGAATGATTTTTAGTTTACTTTCCTAACATAGGCCTATGCGATTTCTTTTCTGTCTGTGTGGCTATGTATCACCTTCCCATTATAACTTTTGAATTCCCGAACTAATCTTTACAATAACTGATATGCGTATCATGGCAACTGAGCCCATCTCAACGGTGTATATTATAAGTCCTCCCATCAGTCTGTGTGTCTGTACGTGTATCGCTCATGTCGTTGCAAGGCAACGGCTCGGTTAGGTGTATGCATCTTAAGGTGCGAGGCAATGGCTCGGAAAACACGCTCCCCTGGCAACGACCCACGCAATAATAGAAGAACTGTTGGACGCGTCTTTTCTGTGCGGTCTCTGTGTTATCAAATGAGAGTCTGTGTGTCTGTGTGTCCCCCTATCGTTGATAGATACCAACTCTTTTGGAGGTGTCGTTTTCTATGCGGTTCGTGTCGTATTAAAGGAAAGTAGTGGGTTAGTTCTTCCTAGAAGTTCTTGTTTTATAACTCTACTCGTCTTACTCGTGAAGAAATCTCACCTGACACGTGCTCTGATAGCTGATCGGCATACATTTCAACAACCTGCAGCGCCTCTTCTTCAGTGAGGTCTGGGGTCTCATACAGCGAAACTGACACCTCCTTTCCGTCGAATGAGAAAGAGACTTCGGCTCGTTCGTCCACGGTGGCGGAGCGTTCGGTGGCAGGCGTGTCGTACATCTGGGAAGTCCTCTCCTCGTGAATGGTCGACAAAGATGGGTTCCTCGCAAGCACGTGTCCTGCGCCGTGTTCTATTTGTTGCTGCACAGAACCCTTCATCAGTCGTTCTGAAAAGAACATGCATAAAAACAGTCTTGTTACTAGGCAGGCCTAAGCTTAACTTCGTCTAACAACCCCCTAAATATTAAAGGTTGTATTTCAGTTGTATGATCCGTTCTCAAACAGTATAACATTATGGCTTAGTAATATGGAAGATGGCAGATATCGGCAACGCGCACAGGGCACGGTTCCTCAACCAATGGAGATATTTTCTTTTAACTGATAATAAGGGATATGAGGACTTCAAAGGCTGACTTCAGCTGCAAAACTAATTACAAGGAGCACAGTTATATTGGAGAAGCTAGCAGTCGTTCATCCAGCCAAGAAATTCCCGCATTTTATGAAATCCGTAGGTTTTTACTATTTCCATACAAGCCCACCACTGCTCCCCATTCTTGAGCCAGCTGAATCCTGCCCATATTTTTCCACTCTACTTCCTTAATAACAATATATCATTTACATCTGGTATCCCAACCTGTCTCTTTCATTCACGTTTTAAAACAATTCTGTAACCATTTAGCACCTCTCCTATATATTCTGCATGCTACAACCATTCATCGTTCTTTATACACGTTTTATTACATTGCGTGAAGAATAAACATGACTCCCTTCATTATGCAATTTTATATAACCTCTGGTTACTTCCTGTATTTAAGGTTCAAGTGTCCTCCTCTGAAAAATAAAATACATCTTAAAGAACTATAATGAGAGGGTTCGATCCTGATCCAACTGACTCGGGGTAAGGTTCAGTGTCTGAAAATTGTGAATATGATTATAACTCTCAAGTTCCATGTAATACATGTCTGGCCGACTACCAGATTCTGTATCCATGGTGTTTAGACGTGTATTCTGGTCTAGAAAACCGAGATTAACGGCCGTGGGAATCCGTTGCGCTGACCACGCGACACCCTCTATCCGCAAAAGTTGGCACTAACTTCGTCGACAAGCGGCGGTCGCTCGGCGCACTACAGGCTACGGAGTTTGTCTTGTTTGGTGTTTAGACGTGTATGCGTACCTTCGAAGCCGAGGAGGGAAGCGGAGCTGGCCACAGTGCCCATGCAGTTTCGGGCTTCGCAGGTGTACGTGCCCAGGCAACACGTGCCGTCTTGTCCAGAAATGATTCGATGTATGTCTCCAGGCTTCAGCTCCTCTCCATCTTTGTACCACTTCAGCTCTGGCTGAGGCACTCCAATAACCTGCAGAACAGACATACACCTGCCTCTGGGCGCCATCATTGCTAACACACACTCTCTGCCTACTTCTGCCTTGCTAAAAGCCTAATAAATTTATATATAAAGAGTGCTGTAAATATGCACTGAATGTGTTTAAAAACAAAATTAAAATCCCACATTCCACAGTTTTGTTTATTTAAACCCTGACAAGGAACATTATTTAGTTGCTGTATTTATATAATCATATTTGTGGTTTAAAGAAAAATACTAAATTAACTGTTCCTGTAGCTCAGAAAACATATAATTGAGTTACAGGAGGTTAGGCAAATTGGGAATATATCAGTCAGAAGAGCTGATCTCAGTGTCTCCACTTGAAACTAAAAGATCTCCCAAATACAAAACAGGAATGGAACCCACACAACCGATAAATTACGTGACAGGGATGCTGTTCTGGCAGAAGAAAAATCTGCAAACGTTGCAACAGCTGAATTACTACATTCTAAGAAACTTCGCATCGAACCTTTCATTCTACTATTCCGCTGCGTTTCGGAATGTTCTCTCAGAGTTCAAAGAGGAATATCAAGACCGCTACTTGCAACTTACGTTCTACTTATCATAATATTCAGGCAGACATCTTAACATTCTTACTGTAAATTTCGCCATTAATGGTAACAGAAAATACAAACAAATACACATTATTCAGATGTGACCTTCTGGGCTACGAAATGGTGTCATTTTGTTCCGTAGGAACCGGTCGCTTCCATCCTCAAGTTAATGCTTAGAATAGAAATCTTCACGTTCATAATTACGAAGTAATACAGTAGCATTCACAAAATCAGGGCCTGTATCTAGAATAAACCTGTTTTGTAAATGTTCTGGCAGCTTCCATTGCACTGACCTTACACTCTAAATTGACAGCCCCTTCCTCCGACAATATGGCTCGCAGACACTCCAGAAACCTGGGCTTTTTGAAGTGTCTTGGTATAATAAGTTTAAGGAAACATGACGTGACGCTGTGCCCAAAATCATTTGTCGCCACGCATTTCCATTCAGCCTGAAAAATAAACACGAATTCTTAAAACTCTCAAGTCATTTTCGACATATAAACCACTCCAAAAGTCTACTTAAAATCAAGCTATAGAAGGAATTCTTACTGAGGTCCATTAGAAGGTACTGCACCCTACAGTGACATCACTTTTAAATCTAACAAGTAATATCAATATACTCCTATATATAACATCAAGAATTAAAATTAATTCTAGCTGATTAGGACCGAGGGCCCAACAGTCCCTCATATTAAAATGAAATACGTTACAGAATGCCAAAAAGAACCTGGGAATTGAGGGTTCTTGTGAACCCATGGGTTCCACAAAAGACGATGAATTCGCCTATTAGCTTCTCAAGAAGTACTTTGGTTTCGTGGAAGTGACTGTATACGAGTACTCGCAGTCTGTCAGCTGCAAAGTACCGTTGCAAGCACTCACTCGTTTCAAATATTACCGAAACAAGAATCTAATCTCATAATGAGGAGCACACGGGAGCGTAGTTGGTTGAGGCACTGTGCTACAAGCCGGAAGGTCGCGGATTCGAGTCCCGATGAGGTGGATTTTTTCAATTGCCCTAATCTTTCCAGCCGCGCTGTGGTCCTGGGGTCGAATCAGCCTCTAACAGGAGTACTAGGAATCTTCCTGGGGGGTAAAGGGCGGCCAGGGCGTAAGGCTGACAAACTCACCGTCATCTGTGGGCCAGTTGTCTAGACAATGTGGGACCCTCAACATCTCAAAACCTCATGGGCCTCCATGGCTTGCTACCTTGCCTTTCATTTTCATGATGATGTTAATTTTGTGAAGTCTGTTAAACTGTCAAAACACGCAGTTGGGTTACAGACTGCGCTCATTTTTAAGGATAGTAATGTGCTTGCAGTCCCAGTTATTAAAGAATAATACAGCTTTCCGTCAGGTAGGAGCAGCATACGATTTCATTCACATGTGTTAACAGTAATTACATCTTATACGTTACATACATAAGAGTTCCAAACGAAATATAGTGCTTCCACAAATTTTCTTTCTTTAACTATAAAATGCTTGCTTTGTAACTACTGTTTGGCCCGGTCACGGTAGCCGAGCAGTCTAAGGCATGCACTGTCTTCGGTCGGAAGCCGGGATCGTGGGTTCGAATCCCACTTAGGGCATGGATGTTCAGTGTTTGTTTGTGTGTGTGTGTGTGGGGGGGGGGGGTTGCAAGCGATTCCTTATGTTTATGTACAGGTAGAGGCCTTGCGACGAGCTGATCACCCGCCCAAGGAGTCCTATCGAATGTCTAAGATCTAGTAACCCGAAATGAAAGGAAGAGTTTCATGGAGGTAGGTCACGACCGAAATTGGGGCTGTAGCGCCAAAGGAAAACCAGGCTACTGTTCGGTAAATATTTTTTCTAGATATCGTACCGCTGTGGACGTTCATCACTGAAATCTGGATAAAAGCAGCGAGGAAGGCACAGTTTGAAAGAACACAAAGTTTCAAATCTGCAGTTACCTGATCGATAATTTCGAGGCAGCGGATATCGAAATTGCAGACTCCCAACGCCTCACGGGACACAGTATATCTGTCAGCGCCTTCGAGCTGCTCGTCATCTCGATACCACAGAATGGAAGGTTCCGGTGAGACGCTCACTGAAACACGGGGTTTCTCTGTCCTTAGCGCATCCAGGTACAAGATTCTTAATATTCCTACATGTCACGATTCATTTCCATGCTACAGTAAAAAAAAATTTGCAACGATGTATAGGAGAAAATTAAGTCTTTCACGTCTCATATTGGTTAACATAAACCCACCTTGGACAGTAAACCTGAAGTCTTCTGTGATTTTTGCTTCACAGCTCTTGAGTCCCACAATGAATTTCGGTGGTTGGTTTGTTGAGAACAGTTGCAGTCTTTCTTCCTCATTGAGTTGGTTCTGGATGTCCTCCACTGTGAGCTCCGCGGAGCTGGTTGCTTCTCCCATGCAGTTCTTCGCGATGCAAGAGTACGAACCTGAAATGAGATGTTCTCTGCTTACAACACGAGCCAGCAGACATATACAGGTACTATTCAGATCTTCAGACTGGAACATACAAATGAAATTGTTAATTCAAGAAACCTTAAGAACCAAGCAGCTTGTGGTTCTCTTCTTTCTTTAACTTTAAATAAAACTGAATAAATTCAAATCTATACAAATATCTACATCAACATAAAATCACCGTTCAAGGCAATTTGTTTGGATTTCGTCTTTCGTCCTAGTTTTCCTTTTACATAGAAACAACAAAGTACATTTTAATCGTTTCCTGCATCCTGTTGTGTTTAATCAATAGTAGAGTGAATTTACCGACTACACAACACATTTTTTATTATCACTGCATGTTTCGACCTCAAGAGGTCATCTTCAGGTGTATGACCACGGCTGTATAATTACACGCGGTCACATTCACTTTTCACTCATTCGACCCTGTATCTTATCCAGACTTACGCTCACTAATATATCGAGTTCTTTTATAAACCACAGGTTAAAATTGTTATTATTCTAATTTAATTGTTAAAAGTTAAAAGTTTGTGAATCGAAGTTCAATTCATGNCGCGAAACAAACAATGAGACAACAGCTGTTGCTAGGCGGCGGCCAACGGTCCAATGGACTGACTGGAAAGCGGTACCAGTGACATGAATTGAACTTCGATTCACGAACTTTTAACTTTTAACAATTAAATTAGAATAATAACAATTTTAACCTGTGGTTTATAAAAGAACTCGATATATTAGTGAGCGTAAGTCTGGATAAGATACAAGGTCGAATGAGTGAAAAGTGAATGTGACCGCGTGTAATTATACAGCCGTGTTCGTACACCTGAGGATGACCTCTTAAGGTCGAAACATGCAGTGATAATAAAAAATGTGTTGTGTAGTCGGTAAATTCACTCTACTATTGAACAAAGTACATTTTGGCCGCGCCATAACTCAAGCGGTTAGTCGCTGGCTTCCCACCGCGGCGGCCCGGTTCTGGTCAAGTGGGATTTGTGGTGGACAAACTGGCGCTGGGGCGGGTTATCCCCGAGTACATCGGTTTCCCCTGCCAATCTTCATTCCACCAAATTCTCCATCATCATAATCACCCGGAGCAGGCTACAATAGGCCAATCAGTGGCCGCAGTGCCGAGTGGACCCAGTTGGACTCCGCTATCCACTATGCGATTTTTTTTTAAAAGAGTACATTTTAAACTTAGTTTCAATTTATTTTAACCATTCATTATATAACATCTTACTATGGTCCAGGTTAGCCTAACATAGTTACTTCCTGTAATGGAATACATAATACGAAAAGACCTATTATATCGGATGTGGCACATTGCAGTTTCGTGGACTCTTACGGACGTTTAGGAGAAACGTATAATTACCCTTCTTGCTGCTTGTTTCTTGCTTGGCTTACTCATTGACCTTTGATATGGAGGCAGCACGTTCCTCCGAAACGTCCGCTGAACTTCTACACGGCCACAACTCAGAAGACAACATTGCCCATTGTCACCGCTTTGAGAATCGCAAATCTATTGAACGCATAATAAGTTATAATGGTTATATTAGCAAAGACAACAGTCCGGAATAGCAAAGGAGAATGAATACCTTGCTCATGTTTCGAACCTATACCTGTGAAGTGTTTTCACCGTACGATTCCATTCATACAGATAAATTAAAGACAACAGAACCTCGTGTGTCAGAAATTAGAAATAACTTGACGGTTGAGGGTGATTCTTGAAACACTGATAGTTACACAGTCTGTAAAGAGACGTTACCCACCATATTCACAAAATTCCGCCATTAAATCTTAGGCCACTTGAATCTAGTTCACACTACTAAAACCTATTTATCCTAAATTCATTTTAATATCATCCTCCTACCTATGTCTAGACCTTCCAAATAATCTTCTTTAAGATTTTAAAGCTAAAACTTTATACTTTTTACCCACTAGTACCGTATACCACAAAACGCATCTGCTTTTATTTAACCATTCAATCATACTCTGTGGTGAGTACATAGTGTGAAGCTCACTTCAGAAAACCTCTGTTAACTTCATCTCTGCTAGGTCCGTTCTCCCACCCCTCAGTCAGAAGTCAATGTGGTACTTTATAGCACCATTATAGTGGTGTTTATTTACCAAAATGGCTGTCTGCTTACCAAGTGAGTTGGTGCCTGTCAGCTGGTACACGTCTCCTGGCTTCAGTTCCTGTCCATCCTTGAACCATCGAAGTTGTGGTGTAGGAAATCCCACGACTTTGCACTCGAAGGACACCAAACCTTCATCGGTCAGGACTGCCTTTAGGCTCTCCAAGAAGCGAGGCTTCCGATAGTTCTTTGGATCTAGTAACAGAAGATACCAGTGCAGAAATTGATGAAGTCAAATTTTCATTCCTACCTAAAATGTCCAGTAACTATTATACAGAAACTAATCTCAAATGATTATTACTTTATGCCTTCAACGTCTGAAGCCTAAGTTTTAAACCTGGCTTCCGATAGTTCTTTGGATCTAGTAACAGAAGATACCAGTGCACAAATTGATGAAGTCAAATTTTCATTCCTACCTAAAATGTCCAGTAACTATTATACAGAAACTAATCTCAAATGATTATTACTTTATGCCTTCAACGTCTGAAGCCTAAGTTTTAAACCTGATTGATATGTTGGGTTTTTGGACTTTATCCATCGTCCTGGTTTTTAAGATAACAAATAAAAACACGACGTTTCGGAAACTGGATCTGTTTCCGTCCTCAGGTGAAGGAAAACACCTATTCAGTTGGGTCCGTTAGAAAGAGCTAGCCTCAATCACTGGACCAAGTCCAAAATAAAGTCCAAAAACCCAACATATCAGTGTGTTATACACCATCGTCAGAATCCTATAGTAACTAATTTAAACCTGATGTTCGAGCACATAAAAAGGTATGACACATTTTGTTACACCGTCTCGTCCTGTCCTGTCCTATCCTGTGATGGCGTGTCTTGCCTTATTTATTTTATTTTATTTTGTTGTGTTTTATTTTATTTTATTTTAGAGATACAAAGTGAGCGTAACGGGTGCAGAGTGGATCCTCATTTGCCGGTTTAAAAAAGTACTGAAAAAGCTCTACAAGTTCTACAACTTTGTATTTCCTTCTTTCTGTATTGAAGGAGGCTAATAATTTACACTGATACTCTCTACTGCAAAATAAAGTAATCAAAACAACACTGCACAAGGAAAAGTGTTTTTCTTAGAATCATCAAATTTATTACATAATCAGTCTGGAAATTTCACATCATATAAGGTAGATTAATAGTCTCAAATTCAGGAAATGACAAAGAGTTTTATCAACATAATTAACAGGGGGTAGATTAAAGTAATTATTTTGTAGTGGACGTTAAATGTGGACTAAACATCCGTGGACAGAAGTATACTGGAGGAGTTCTTCATTCATTCATTCATCTGTAATCTGTCAGACGACAGGTCCACAGTCTCTTCCAAAACAATTCCTCCGCTTAATGCGATCTAGAGCTTTCTCCTTCAAATGAAAATATCCTCTTCTGTCTCCAAGGTCATCCAGCATCTTCTTACGTCTTCTTCCTCGTCTTCTGGTCACTTCTATCCGCCCCTCTATCTTTCCTTCAATAACTTCTTTTAGAAGGCAGTTACTGCCTAAGATATGACCCATCCAATTAGCCTTCCGTTTTCTTATTTCGTGTAGGATATTCCTCTGCTCACTGACTCTAAATAACACTTCTTCATTTCTCACATAATCGGTCCAACTGATCTTCTCCATCCTTCTCCAACACCACATTTCGAAGCTTTCCAGGTGTTCCTGATCTACTGCCCTAAGTGTCCAAGTTTCAGCCCCATACAAAGCGATGCTCCAAACATAGCATTTCACTAGTTTCTTTCTCAAATTTAAGTCCAATTTGCTGGTAAAAAGATTCTTCTTCTTGCTAAATGCAGCTTTTGCCATGGCAATCCTGGATTTAATTTCACTAGTACACCTTCCATCATCTGTTAACAAGCTACCCAAATATTTAAAACATTTCACATTCTCCAGTTGTTTTTGGTCTATCTTTATTGTGACTGGGGTTGGTTGTCTCGAAATTTTCATTACTTTTGTTTTCTCCACATTCATTTCCATGCCATAGCACCTTCCAATTTCAATTAGTCTATCAATCATGCCCTGTAGCACAGTTTCTTCCTTAGCCATTAACACAAGGTCATCTGCATATTTCACAGTTTGAATAATTTGCCCTCCTACTTTGAAGTCACCGAGCCCATCCAGAGCTTCCTTGGTAAGGCATTCGCTGTACAAGTTGAACAGAATTGGTGATAAACAGCATCCTTGTCGAACTCCTCTTCCAATCTGCACACTTCCTGTCTCCCCCCTGTCCAGTCGTACTCTAACTTTCTGATCCATGTACAATTTGCTAATCAATCTTCTTTCATGCCAATCGATACCTGTTTCTTTCAGGATCTGCATTAATTTGGTCCAGTTTACCCGGTCAAATGCCTTCTGCCAGTCTATGAAGCAAACACACAGTTCTTCATCTATCTCCAAAGTTCGTTCCGCTATAATTCTCATCATCCCAATTGCATCCCTGGTTCCTTTTCCTCTTCTAAATCCAAACTGATCTTCTCCAAGTACATCCTCTATTTTCCTTTCAATTCTTCTTTTAAGTATCTTTGCTATTAACTTTGTTATGTGTGCAATAAGGCTTATTGTGCGATGGTCGCTGCATTTTGTGGCTTTTGTCTTTTTCTTTAAGGCGATCATTGTCACTTCTTTAAAGTCCTTGGGCCACTCCCAAATTTCATATATGGTGTTTATTAGTTTTGTCAGTGTTTTCAAACCACCTTCTCCCAGTAACTTAAGCACATCTCCAAGTACATCATCTCCTGTAGCCTTTCCATTCCTCATGTCCTTGATAGCTTTTTCCACCTCACTTTGTAAAATATATGGTCCTTTCTCGTCTGTATCTACTTCTTCTTCCGGTTCCACTTCCAAGGTTTCTGGCCGATTAGGTCGATCATATAGTTCTACAATATAGGCAAAAAGTTGATTGAAAATTCCTAGCAGCAATTATTTTAACACGAAACAACTATATTCGACTTAATGCTGTCGTGAAAATAAATTTTCTTGACATAGACTTTCTGCCGTAGCAGTAGAAGTAGACCTGCTCGTACTTTCCGAGACACTGGGTTTCGCTCAATTCAACGAGAAGTTTGCTAATAACACTATGCCTACGACGATTAGTATTGCTGCCAAACAAACTCCGTGGTCTGAGTTCGCAAGCGAATTATACCGACCGAGCGATTGCCGCTTCTCAGCGAAGTTAGTGCCAACTTTAACGGATTGAGGTGTCGCGTGGTCGGCGCAACGGATCCCCACGGCCGTTAATCTCGGTTTTCTACAGCGGGGCTGCTACTTTTCCATTCAAGTAGCTTCTCAGTTATCCTCACGAGGCTGAGTGGACTCCGTTCCACACTAGCTACTTCTCAGAAAATCTGGTAGCGCCGGGAATCGAACTCGGGACCTCTGGATCTGTAGCCAGGAACTCTGACCACTAGATAACAGAGACTAGTAATAATTTTAAAAACAAACTTTTGTCAGAAATAACCAAAACTCACTGAGAATCCAACAGTATGTCTTAACTTGAATTTTGTAAGAAATTTTCGCTTACTACCGGTGTTAGTTACATTCCTAGAAGTCAGATCCTTAATTGAGTGTATCAACAGACATTTCATAATTTTACTTAGTTGGTTTGAAGTTTGTTATTTAATTAGTTACTTATGTAGTTAATAAATTATTAAGCTAGCCACTTGGCTAACACATCACGCATATGCGACAGCTGACTTTGACGACAAAGTAACTTACTACTGTAAGTACAGGTAAATATCTACTGATGTACTGTTTGCATTCGTAGTTAAGTACTGAAAACTAAGTCTGTATAAGTAAACAAGAGCCATCAGTATAAAACATGCCATAAAACTGCACTTCAAGCAGTAGGTTACATAATAATAAAAGTTGCTGATTCCAGTAACCGAATGGTCTACAATAAGAGGAAACTGCTTGATCAAAAGGTATGGTTGCGGTTTCAAATCCCGCGCACAGCATGCGTGCTTCTTCGTGATTTCCTGTATCGCAGTGTTATTATATAAATTTCCAGGCATGGAGATTTTACGCTTCTCTGCATAAAGATTTAGAAAACTTCTAGAATAGTCAACTGTTAGAATCGCGATGTAGCTGCAAGTACTAAAATCTACAGTTCAGAATTTGTACAATGACGTCACTTACACGTCATGGAGACGTGGCAAGTGGAGATTCCCTTGGCACCCTCGCTGCTCGTAGCGACGCATTTCCATTCGCCCTCATCCGCCTCCTCCGCGTGGTCGATCTGTATCATGTAACCGCCCAGTCCGTCCGCCATGATGTGGTACTTCTCACTTTCGTCCACACGCCCTTCTTTGTTGTACCACGTTATGCTCTGCGGCCAGGGCGGTACAGCCACTGCAGGTTGAGAAATCAAAACGTTGTCCAGATCAGACAAAGGCTAACTTTCTTTAAGAGCACTTCTACAGCCACGAGGTGCAGGGAATTTTGTTTTCGTATTTAAAATTACATGTCGAATGTTCTGGGACGGGATGCAAACACCAACTTGATGCCAAGTTCTGCACAACAGTAAGTTATGGTGAATTGTACCCAGATTCACAACACAAGATATAAAAATATATTTCTCTTACAAACTTTGGTTACAATAAAACCTGACGATGAATCATTTTTACTGATTCTCTGCTCATAAATTCTGAATAAGAATTCATCACATTTGTTAATTATTTTGTCGGTGATGAATGTGGATGTGCAATAAGATGAAGATATATCCCGTGTCTGTGCAGAGTAAGAATATCTCCTACTGTTGAGGCGTCAAACCCAGAGCCGTCTATAGGACAATGTTCAAACTATTACACACCCTCAATCCAAGCCAGACGTAAGACTAGCTTATGTTTTAGTACTAACATGACGTTGAAATTAATACTGAGCCATAGACTTTCGAACTCGGTCCTATGCGTTATTCCATTATTCGTTATTCCGATTAATTACCTCTATCAACAATATGCAATAAAGGAACATAAAGTTAAATAACAGATATAAAACTTTGCGTTGTTACTGCTTCCATGAAATGAAAACAACTATTTTCGTTTATCAAACGACCTGATCAGAGAAACCAATATTTAGATAAAAATGAAATACACTTCCACAATAATAATAATTTTATAAACAGCAGTTATGTATTTTTTACTTGGAATTCGTATTACTTGAAGACCGAATAAAATGAATCCCTCGCCGATAAACCATGATGCCAATTCTACATGGCACTACCTGAGATCAGAGACAAAAGAGAAGGCCTCCAGCCAACAAGAAGTGATACTCCATACTTTGCATTGGGATTGCCTTAAGAATCTACCATGTGACTAAACGCCATAAGTGATCTAAATCTGTAAGCATTCCTTGCTTTGACCGAAGCTTTAACTTTACCTGTTTGTATAGGCCGATGAATGTGAAACTTGTTCTCGCATTTTAAAGGTGGCAAATGTTTGTTCCTAAGCTAGAGGACCTGACTGGAAACATACTGAGAGCATTTTTGGTCTCCAATGACCGTGTTTGGATGAGCAATTCAAGAAACATAAAATGGGTTGGGAGCACCTACATACCCGGGACATGAGAAACATAAACAGCATAACTGAAGAGAGACGCGACCTAAGAGACTTTGGCCTAGTTGCAGAACTGAGGAAAATGTCAAAATTAATCTTCATGAACCAAGTGTGAGGATGTGGGCTGAGGTTCGACGGCAAGGTCCTGTGAAAATGATGACATTCGGCCTCCACAGGCGGCGCTGAGCTCTGCTCTACGGAGTTAGTAATCACTTTCTGATTCAGGCAGTTCTCACCTTGGCATGTGAGTGTTATCTTGTCCCCAATCCTTGTTTTTTCGTTACGTAACTCCTGTTTGAACGCTGGAGGTGGTCCCATGGGTTTCATGCTGCAAGACAAAATATTTTGAGCATAAGTTTCGTTGTCTGTTACAGTATCATATGAAATTTCGAACCATGACTGAACAGAAAGCGTACAAACGGCTTAAATGAATCTCTTGAAGCACCCTCTCTGATCACATTAAAAATTATATAATTAGCATACAATTAAATACATTCGACTCCTAAGTAAACAGCTCATTGCCAAAAATGGTTCCACCATTATATGAAGATAGAAGAAAACAAATTTCATAAATATCCATTAAGTAAAGTGAAAAGTAGAAATATTAAAAAGTTAGCATCTAAATAGAGCCTATAAGCTTTGAAATCTGGTCCGTTTACAGGCCTAAGTCTAATCTATACGTGATGATAAATATTAATTATATACGTAGGCTTCACTATAAGCTCTGAAATCTGGTCCGTTTACAGGCCTAAGTCTAATCTATACGTGCTGATAAATATTAATTCTATACGTAGGCTTCACATAATAAAGAAAAGTAAAAAGTTAATAATTACCGTAAGGTTAATTCTGTTTGCATATATTTGACAACATTATTATTGTTTTTGTTTTTATTATTATTATTATTATTATTATTATTATTGTTACGCGTATTATTACGTGTTTCGAATAGATAATAAATTCAAGATTTCAACACAGTAGAAGCAAAGAGGAGATATGAAAGTGGAATAATAAACGGTGACCACAATTAGTCTACATGAGCATTATCTCAGAGGGAACTGTCCCGATAAGAACCGACATATGAGGCATTTCGCATTCGTGGTAACGTCTGTGGACACCCTTTCACTTCAGTGTAAACGTCAGTCATTTGATGAAAAAATAGAAGTTAACAAATTCGTATTCTTATGCTAATCGCGGAGAACTGAGTGTTAGCTGATGGGATTTTACGAAAACCAAACTTTGACTGTGACACCGAGGAGAAAAGATTCGAGACGAGGTTCCTGAAAATAACTGTCGGTTAAGTTAAAGAATATGACTGAAATTGGAGAAAAATTAAGAAAAAGTAAATGTTGAAATGTGAAGACGCAAATGTTTCCATGTTTATTTTTATTTATTTATTCGTTTCTTATTTACTGTACGCGGTAGCTTAGTTTCTTGAGGCACTATGCTACAAGCCGGAAGGTCGCGGGTTCGAGTCCCGAGGAGGTGATTTTTTTTTTCAATTGACCTAATCCTTCCAGCTACACTATGACTCTGGGGTCGACTCAGCCTATAACAGAAATGAGTATCAGGAATCTTCCTGGGGTGTACTCTTCAACTTCATCAATACCAAACAAGCACCAGGATATTTTACTTTCGCTAAATTTATTATATTGATGTGTGAAAGCTAGCCGGGAAAAAGAAAGAAAAGTGTTGAAGACAGACTGACCCTGGCTGGTTTAACCCTTGTTACGTGACAGTCCATATCAAATTATTAAGCTCAACCTGGCTTCGTACTGAAATCCCAGAAAATGAAGTCAGATGGGCAGGGGTTGTAGTTATAAGATTTGCTGTGCTATTACAGCTACTTCCTGACCTGTCAGCCGGTTTGAGTGAGCCCTCGCGGCTGCCCTTCCCCATGACGTGCACCCTGGAGGAGGAGTAGGCCTTGCCCATACAGTTGACAGCTTCGCATGTATAGGTGCCGAGGGATGTGGGGTCGTCAGGGTTGGCGGTCAAAGCGAATACGTCCCCCGCCTTGATCTCTTTGCCATCCTTGTACCAGCGCAGCACGGGGGTAGGTACGCCTACCACCTTGCACTCCAGGGACACGGTGCCCTGCTCCGTTAGCAGGGCCTGCAGCTCCTCCAAGAACTCGGGGGCCTTGTACGCCTTCGGAACTGAAAATGTAGGACATGTTTATGTTGCGTGAATAATATGGCATTTAATTCGGAACACAGAAACCGCACAAGACATGTGTGTGCGCGTGTTTGTAGACAAATGGGTCAATCATTCAGCATCATTACCCACAGCCGAAGTGGTGGCCGTCGTTTTATGGGTCTGTTTTAAGCCTGATTAGGACAGGCATGTGCCTATCCGCATTACTTGCACGCAGAATGCAGGAAAGTTGAAGGCGTTCATGTCAGCGGGAGGATAATGCTCAGCCGCTTCACTGAAAGGTCAAAAGCAGAGCTGGAGTGTGTGTTCTACAATGTGAGCATAGTGACGTCACCAGCTACGTGTATTGTCGTGATTATAGTGGGGACTTGGAACAACTAGCCAGAGAATATCTGCAGTGCTTGGTGTGGATGTGAGAGTTTTGGAGCCTTACGCTATTTCTTGAACTGCTCAGGTAGAAGAATTAAACGCCTCTCTCGTCAAGTCATACCGCGGAGATCCTAACTGCTAGGAGAATCGACGAATCTACAGCCTAAACACATTAGAAATAAAACATATAACGGACTGCAACAGCTGCTGTAAATGCTCTTTAGGTTGCTGTTGTTGTTATCGTCGTCGTGAGGAGAATGTGCAGCCCTTGGTGCAGACCGTCAACATCCGTAAAGGAGTGCGTGTATGCGTTATGTGCCGGACGGTTCTCGTCACGAGCTCCATATTCTTTTAATGCTTGCTTCTGTGCTTGACCTGTGCGATAAGCAGTGTGGGAGTCAAACTCCCGCACCCAAAAATAAAAAAACTACACCAAAGCAAAAAAAAAAAAACCGTGGCCTGTAGTCCTCAAGCGAATTATACCGACCGAGCGACCACCGCTTGTTGGTGAAGTTAGTGCCAACTTTAGTGGCCAGAGGGTGTTGTGTGGTCAGCGCAACGGATCCCCAAGGAGGTTAATCTCGGTTTTTCTAGACCGGAGCCGCTATTTGCTTCAAATAGCTCCTCAATTATCCTCACGAGGTTGCGTGGACCCCGTTCCAGCCCCTCTACTTCTCAGAAAATCTGGTAGCGGCGGAAATGAACCCGGAACCTCCGGATCTATAGCCAGAAAGTCTGACCACTAGACCACAGAGGCGGTGTCCCGGGCCTGTTAAAGTATAACTGTAAGACACGCAGTGAGCCGTGCGAATTCTTGTGTTGAAATGCCAAGTGAGAGATACTGTGCATATTGAGTTAACTAGGGTTCGGTTGGGGCACCACTGTGGAAAGCGGTTCTTCAAGAAACCTAAAAGGAGAAAAGTCCAGGGTCATTACTTGACTCCCCCCCCCAATATATATATATATATATATAATGGAAAGGCCGATGGCTTATTCAAGAGAAACTGGATGAAATCGGCGTTGCAGTTGAATATTCTACTTTGAAGTCCCTCAGTTGCCTTGCACAGAGGAAAGCGGAGTTTCAAGTCGTAAGTTTTCTCTGTTTATTAAGAATGAATTAAACGCATGAATGTACATTTCTTGGATATTCCAGCAACGTGTTCGTAAGAAAGTACAGCATTTCCAGCATCTGCTCTGCATTTGTTTCTTATGTGTACAATTTACGCTGCAGGTGTGTCGGTTTCTCCGGCAGCCCAAAACTCTGCGGCCCAGCTTGACGGAAGGGATGTATATTTTTCGATTTCAGCGGTTCAAAGAACTGAGTGAGGCTCTAAAATAACTTGCACTGTACCACTGCATTAACGCGCGTTAACATTAATTTACTGCTGCGAGCGGTCTGTGATGATCACGCAGCTACACGTGCACATATAAATGCGTTCTTTGAACACTGCATAAAATGAACGCATAAGGGTGAGAAAGAGAAGTAATTTCGGGAAGACATGAACGTTTCATAATCTATGAAGAAAGTCGTCTTCTGGGTTTTGGCGCCGTGTGTTTTTCGTTTTGGCCGACGTTTCTCCGAAATGTCGGCCAAAACGAAAAATACACGGCGCCAAAACCCAGAAGACGACTTTCTTCATAGTCATAGCCGTGAAAACCTCAGAACTTACGTTTCATAATCTAATTCACTGAAATGTGATATTTTGAGTTTGCTCTGAGAGTTGGTCCAAATTCATCAGAATTAAACTTGGGAAGACCTGAACAAACAGAACTGAGTATATTACATACAATTCAGATGTCATTCTTATCTACACATTTTATTGGAACAGTTTTCCATATTATATGTGATCAACTGAACACGAGAATAATGTCTCTAACATTAACGTATAATATTTGTATTGTAGTTCCTTTGAATTTTCACATTTTACTATAACATGTTTCGGGCCCCAACCGGCCATCGTCAGGTACTCCAACTCGCCAAAACTGTTACCTGCATTCAATATCAGTCATGCATTTCACGTGTAACTGCATTGTTCTATATTAATGTTGCGGTTACGATCCAGCTAACATTAATCAATTCACCATGCACTGTGGCTCACTTTCTATTGCCATTAACTAAAATTCCATTAAAACTGTTAAATTCAATTCAGTTTTAAATTTTAAAATTTTAAAATTTAATTGAATTTTAACAATTTTAATGGAATAACGTGGTTGCATTGTTGATGGAACTGTCATATAAATATTCTATGTGAATGTTATAGAAATGCAAGAGGAAGCTTAAATACAATATTGTAAATATGTATACATACAGTGTATTTTTGTATGATGTTTTCTCTGAAACAATATTTGATATAATAGACATATCTTGAGCAAACGATAACCAAAATAACAAGCGCATTTAAAAAGTGAGTCTAATCGAAGACAAAATGCTCGTACTTTCCCCACTTCTGTTTTATAGAAGCCACAATGTGGCCATAGAAATTATAGTTGAGAAAAACCTCGAAAATCCTGTATGGATAGTTGTTCTCCCGGATTCAAACTGAACTCGGGGCCGACAGAGTGCGAAGAAATAGCGAGGTTCGTTGGGAACGGAGAATGAAATACATACTCTTGCAACGTTCTGACTCACCCAACACGTTGAGGTTCGATGAGCAGGAGGTCCTTCCGCCAGCCCCCTCAGCCAAACAGGTCCAGCGCCCTCCATCCTCCACCATGACGGGAGCAACATCCACACAAAAGAAGTTGCCCTCGTGCACGAAGTGGAACCGCTCACCCTCCAGAAGCTGCTCTTCGTTCCTGTGCCATGACACCTGTGCCCACACAGAGACGCGGTAGCGCCTAAGTACACTGATTTGGCAAGGAATGGTCACAGTCAGTTCCTGGCGGTCTGTGTCGATACCCTCACATACTAATCGCGGAGCTCCCAGTAGTCACTGAAGGATGCGCAGAACAGTGTGCAGCTGCACGCATTATGAGCATATATAATTTTTACCGTCAATGCAACAATATTTTATTATTTATTTATTTATATAGCATGCACTATATGTTTCGACCTCAAACAGGTCATCTTCAGGTGCTGCAAATTTATCACGTAGCATTACCGAACTGCAACGTATGGTATGTGAGAAAATTGCAGCACCTGAAGATTATCCGTTTGAGGTAGTAACATGTAATGCGTGCAATATACGTAAATAAACAAATAAATAATAAAGTATTGTTGCGTTGACGGTAAAAATTATATATGTTCATTGTACATGCGCAACAGGATTCAATCCTTTAAAATGTACGTAAGTATTATGTTATGTGTCCTGAAGCCTGGATGGCGTAGCTTAGTCCTGTGCCTGCCTTTATTTCTTTGGAAAACAGAGAAGAATTTGTTGTTAAGTGTGTTCAATGATTTAAATAATAAACTAATGTTATCATGTTGTATCGACGGTGACAGAACAAATTGCTTAGGAGGTCATTTGAGACGAAGAGAGATGAATTCACGGCAGAATGGACACATTTATACAGTGAAGGCCTTCCTAATATGGGCTGGACGACTGAGGAATCGGGCTTTGATTCTCGGCAGAGGCAAGGATTTGCTGTACTCTACCGCCTCTGGGGTCCACGCAGCCTCCTATAAATGGGTGCCGGGGGCTGCTTCCCTGAGGATACTCTTTTCCCTATATCCTTATGAATACGAACCCAAGAACGTTGAGACGAACAGACAGTGTCGCCCGTCAGAAGAAAACAGAAATGCGTGTTGGTGCAAAATTTAGTTAGAAAACCTGGAGAGAAGATGCCAATTGAAAGAGTAAGGTGTGGACTAGTTTCGCCTAGCTAAGGATGTGCTCAGCTTATCAAGAAAGACTCTGATTCGCTGAATTAGTGATGTTATGCACGGAAGTTAATACCTCTCACTGTTAAACTGAATTCGCCTGTAACAACGGACGTCCCATCCTACAAGAGCTACGTTATTCTGTACTGATCGCCGTGAGAACCTCAACTCTTAAGGTTCGGCCACACAGAGCGCTACGTACGCTACGTACGCTATGTTCCCCATGTTAGTTGCGTCGCAGAATGTATACAGCGTACGTAGCGAACATAGCGTAGCGCTCTGTGTAGCCGAACCTTTACACAGTATACACGTATGTGTTTGTTATGTCCCTGCCACAATGACCATGAAATGCAGAAAGAGAAGAGTTACGGTGTAGACACGTATCTTCTGAGTTACCGGTTGTGCCGTGTGGTATGCTATTCGTAGCTGTCCTTCTTGTATGATAAAACTTTTTCAGAGTAATTCAGTGTATTCTGCGCCGCGTGTCCCAAGGGGGCCAAAGCTTTCTTGTGACATGTGACAAAAAGTACATACACAGTGTGTCCAGGTTCTGTTAGAACTGTGTTCATTAAAAATACAAGACGTGAATTATTTTCAAAATTTCACTCCTTTTATTCAAAATAGTCTCCTTCTGAATCAATACATAGCTGGAATCGAATGAAAAGTTTTCGAAAACGGTCACTGTACTTCTTTTGTGGAATCGCATTTAAAACTGCGGTACATTCCCTTTGGATGTCCTGGATGGTGTCGTGACGCTCTCCTTTCGTCGCCAACTTAACTTTTGGGAACAACCAGAAATCTGCTGGAGCCAAATCTGGCGAATGCGGAGGATGATCAAGGACTGTGATCCCTTTTCTGGCCAAAAAATCGCGCACGATCTTCGATTTGTGGGGTGGGGCATTATTGTGGAGGAGCTACCAGGAACCTTGCTCTCGATAGTTAGGTCTAATTTGAAGAATTCTCGCCCACAAACGATTGAGGACTCAGAATTCACTGTTTGACCTTCTGTCAGAAATTCCTTGTGAATGATTCCTTTGGAATCGAAGAAAACGGTTAGCAGTGTCTTTACTCAACTCTTTCGCATGCGCACTTTCTTTGGTTTCGGCTGGCTTCTTTGGGCTCAACCACGCTGCACTCTGCCGCTTTGTGAGAGGCTCATATTGTAAACACCATGTCTCGTCACCAGTAAGAATCGATTTTGTAAATTTTGTATTACTTTGGGCCGACCGTAACATGTCTTTGCAGTGTTCCACTCCGACATGTTTTTCATCGCCTGACAGCGTGTGCGGTATAAACCGCCCAAATCCTCGGTCAAAAATTGATGCACAATACTGTCTGGTATTCCTAAAAGCTCCTCGATGAGTCTTGCAGAAACACATCTGTCTGATGCAACGATTTCAGTCCGGTCACTTTTTTCACATTTTCTTCAGTGCGGCTTCTTTTCGACTTTGATGCACGTGGAGCGTCTTCAATGTCCTCCCTGCCGTCACGAAATACAGCATACCATCGAAAAATGTTCGAGCGACTCAAACAATCACTACCGTACACACTTTTCATCATTTCGTACGCTTCACCGGCTGTTTTGCCTAATTTCAAACAAAATTTGATGTTGGCTCTCTGTTCAACTGCCATTTTCCGACGAGCGTCAGAACAGTACTGTTTCATTCAAGGTCAGAACATATGATGCAGCGATGTTTGCACTTTGAAATTATAGACAGCCACAGTTGAAACTTCAAGAATCTTAACGTCACAACTCACCAACAGATGGCATTGCAGGGAAAAGAAAAAAGAGTCCTAACGGATCCTAGACACACCGAGTATAACCTGTCCATGTGCACTTAGAGAAGGGCTGCCATATCTCGGCCTCTCTTCTACTGGGCCGTATTGTTCTCTGTCGACGTTCCGAGAAACACGACCAAACTCAACAGCGAACAGAGTAGTGGCCTATTTCCTTCTGGCAAAACTATAAAAAGATTCTCTGACATTTATGGATAAATACTGGTTCGTTTATCAGTACTGAAAATTACTGGATGACTCAGCTACGTCTGTTGAGACCATAAGATATTTAGGGAACTCGCTCTGCTGCTGTCTACAGATGAATGATTGTCGTTATGCAGGCAGTTTTTTCATTCATTCATCCTTTCATGAATGTGCTCTACAGTCCTCTGTTGGGCCCTGGCCTCTACTTCAGTTTCGTAATATTTTTTCACAGGCAGTAGGACTCCTTGGACGAGTGAAGCAAATTTTTACTGATTTTAATTTCAGTAGGTGCCTATACAGTGCCAGGCTTTGCGTCATGCTCGTATGGATTATTCTTCATAAATGTAGATAAGGAAGGAAGAAAAGGTAGAAATAAAACATTAACTTAAGCCTGAAGAAGGCAGTAATGATCATATTTTAAAACAGGAAGCCCGTGCAGCGACGCTTCCACGAGCATCGCTCGTTATGGTTTTCGGCAGTAAGGGTTGAAAACGAAAGTTTCGGCTTAATGTAATTCAAACTACCTGAATATATGGAACAAAGATTTTCTTGAGAAACTAACAGTCGCTCAGTTGATCAAACAATATCCCGTCGTTTGTGGAATCTTTAAGTTTCAGAGGAGCTCTATCTACGCGCTCACAACTTATTTCTTTAAGATCCATTTCAATATTTCCCTCATATCTAAGCCTACGTCTTCCAACAGATCTCTTCTGGCCAAAACTTTGTGATCATTTCTCACCCCTCCCATGCGTGCTACAATTCCATATGAGTATTTCAGCTCATTCCTGCCCGAAAAGGATATATGTGTTTTCATATTCGTGTGTAGTAAGAGTTATGTTCTTGTGTATAGTATGTCGTGTGTACACTATATGAAAGATGGTGTATATATACACACACACACACGTGTGTGTACGTACACATGAGCTCTTTTACAAGCGCGCTTTCAAGCGGAAGTCACCCGTACCTACCGCCAAGGAGAGCCGATCCATAACATGTAACATTGGGCCATACAGAGATCTCACATACGAGTATATACATATCACACCCAGATACGCCGTCTTATATTGCACATGTGCTCTCACCTGAGTGTCTCCAACTGAACGTATGCTCACCTTCACTTCAGAAGAACTGCGAATCTCGACCAGGAACCGGGTGCGAGTGCCCACCTTCACCGCTAGGTCACTGAGTCTCCTGAGGAACACGGGGACATCTGGTCCGGCATCTTCAACTTTGATTTGAAAAGCACGACGAGCCTCCCCTGCCGAATTCTTTGCTGTCAGAGTATAATGGCCGACGTCGTTCCTCGTCACGTGGTGCAGGTTCAACAACACTGTATTATTGTTCTCCGACACCCGGTAGCGCTCACCCGCCAGCTCCTGGTCGCCGCGCCTCCTGTGGGCATACCGGAAGTCAGTGAGACACGGTACGCTCTTAGAGCATGTTCACTTATCAGTAGCTCAGGTGTCGCCAACTGTTTCAGGTGATGGGCAACTAGGAGCATTAGCCCATATGATGTGAATGTAGCGACAAGAAAATAAAAAGGGAAGCGAAATCATCAAAGATGAACAGCTTTGAATCCTGTGTTTTAAAAACAAGATATTTTCCAAAATAATAGCCTGTTAGCCTCACATGAAATGTCACCATTATTTACGTCCGAAACAATTAATTTTATACACGAACTCAATCTAAACATTTGGAAATCCTTAAAACTGGACGAAAATTCGGTCAACTGAACGGATATCACTATGTAATCTGCGATTATATGTGAACAATTTTAAAATTCTAACAGGCGTCTGAACAACCTCATAACCAATTGGTACCGGGGGCTCTTCCACCGGGGGTAAAGCGGTAGGGCCATGAAGCTGACCACTCACATCCAACTAGTGCCGAGGTCTAGAAAATTTGGATCTATACATCCACTCCCTCGTACGTCTTCATGGCGTAATGCTTAATTTGTTAAGCACAGGGAAAACTTTACGTTTTTACCTTTACCCAACATATATACTGTCATGTTTAATGCGTAAACTATTGCTGCAAGTACTTGTAATATTCTCTATGATCATTCATGAATGGATATAGAAGGAGCAATCGAGGAAATTTCTGCTATATGTCAATTTTCCAGACCTACAGGCCATAACAAACAAATACTTCTATGCATGAAGTCAGTTACAATGAAAAAGCCACTTCCTGGAATGCTGTATTAATTTTACCGATGGCTGTAAATAACGTCCAATAAAACAAATTATGGCCCTTCCCATACTTCTGATAACCTATAGATTAACAGGAAGGTGTCACCGTCACCGTTTTCGGCTTTGGCACGGATTGAGACTTCAGCTGGTACCGGACTCACAAAACTCTTGATACTTCAGAAGGTCACAGAGTTCGCGTTTCGTTGTCACCACGAATTTTCATCCCAAATGCCGAACAGTACGGCACCTAGAGAATGCAGACTCCAAGAATTTAGAACGCTGTACTTTCTTTCCGATACCGCTTAATAACAATTAATTTCTCTTTGGAAATAAACAAACCCTACATTCACACAGCCGTCTCAGACCAAATGAGTGGATGCCGTTTCTATCGCGCTCAACTAAACAATATACAAGCCAACAAGAAAAAAAAACTCTCAAAACATGTGCAGCAGAATATACATATCTCATTAAGTAACGGGGGGCACGCGGTAGCGTAGTAGCGTATGCTACAAGCCAGAAAGACGCGGGTTCGAGTCCCGATGAGGTGGATTTTTTTCATTTGACCTAATCCTTCCAGCCGCACTATGGCCCTGGAGTCGACTCAGTCTCTAAGATAAATGAGTACCAGGAATCTTCCTGGGGGGTAAAGGGCGGCCGGCGCGTAAGGCTAACAGCCTCACCGCCATCTGCGAACCGATTTTCTAGAAGATGTTTGAACCTCGACGTCTCACAATCCTGTGGGCCTCCATGGCCTGTTACAGGGCTAACTTCACCTTTTCCCATTAAGTAAAGAGGATGGTTGGCACAGTTCTTATTTATAAGCAACTTCTATGTAAATTTGGCAGCATCAGTGTAGGGTTCGCCACCTCTGCCGAGGCAGTGTCAGTGAGTTTCCTGTCTACAGCAGCTGCAGAATTCAATTTACATCGAATTCCTGTGTGCTTTGGTGTACTCAAGTGCATTTCTGACACTCTTCTAATCCCTTTCTGGAGTGGAAGCTGCGAGATCGTCCTAATAAAGTGTAGGGAAGTAATTTCGAGTTTTCGGTTTAAAAGAAATATATACCCAGAAATGTTTATGTGGACAGAAATCGCACAATATTCATGGAAGCTGGTAGTCATTCATCTAGTCAAGGAATCCTCAGTCTATTATGGAACCCGAAGATTTGTTCCTCGTTCAGAAAGGCTTGTCCCTACATTGAAGCAAATTAATCGAGACCGCCCTCTGCTACTCTTTTTAAGATCTATTTCATATTAACCTGTAACCTACCAGGTTTACTAATTTCATGTAAAGTTTCCTTTTGCAAATATGTTCTCTCCATAATTTTACGTTCAAATTTAAAAGACTAAACAATCTATGTAAGATTTCAGGTGGTGACTATGAAGAATGCCATCTTCTGGGAGTCTTTTTAAATGGGGCAGTCTGCAGCCACCTGCTCACGCTGGTTCCTCGCTCGTGGATTTTTCTACATTGAATATGAAAGCAATACTTTCCTCCGAAACGTCGGCTCACACAAGACCTTAGTGACCCCACATCCCAGAAGACAGAATTTCTCAATAAAGAATCTACTATTTCAGAAGAGCTATTTCTGTATTATCACTTTTACCTTCTTTCTGAGCATTTTCATTCAGAAAATTAGGTCACAAGCAATCTCATAGCATAATGCACCTCATCATGCTCCTAACCAAATCTACCTCGCTAACCACTTTAACATTGAAACTGCGGATTCCTTGCACAGATTGTATATGTGAGTTTCGCAAGATTCTCATATTGAACAGCTTGGCTCTTGTAATACAGACTCGGTGTATTTTCTATGAGTTGGGGACTGTGTTTAAGTATTATTGAGCTAGTTTTCATGCTTCATAGGATTACGCTTGAAATTCTCACTCATGGAGCTGAGCCCTTCTTGAAAAACCATCAGTTGTGCAGCTACTCAAGAACTTCCCAGCATTTTATGGAACTCGAAGGTTCATTACCGTCTTCACAAGAGCCCTCCACTGGTCCCTATCCTAAGCCAGATCAATCCAATCCGTACCATCCCATCCAATCCTATCTCTCTAAGATCCATTTTAATATTGTCCACCCACGTCTTGGTCTTCCAAGAGGTATATTTCTTCTGCCTTTCCCACAAATATCCCACATGCATTCCTCTTCTCCCCAACTCGTTCTTCTAAATATTACATAAAAGTTAGTATATACTTTCCTACCCTATATAAAAGAAACTCCGTCTCGATTATACAGACTGACCTGTTGGTACCGTCTAGGGAAATTATCACTATTTACTCTCATAAACGTACGACCCCCCCCCCCAAAAAAAGAAAAATAAACTGTGATGACGGAATGCAGTGTTCTTAAATCTTAAAGCAAATGGCATGCACAACAGGGGATCCTCATATCCGAGTCTTCAACAGCAATTTCTCCGCACACATATGGCGACAGATTATTCGGGAACTATACGCAAAAATTATCAGCAATTCCGAGGTTCGACGCACGGGCTACGAATATCCCAACAGAAAACTCTTTCTATCCATCACACATGCGCCAATTTGGGCCAATCTCAAGCGCATCTCCAGCCATGCATCCAGCCGAAAGTTTATTGCCCCTGTTACAATCATGAGTGGAAAGCGTAGTTGTAGCCCTACAGTCTCTAAAAGAAAGCGTACCAGTTTAATAAAGTGTTATCATTAGTTTAAAATGGATGTTGGGGTTAAATTATGGGTCTCTGGGAAACGATTCCTTGTTAAACATGTCGCGGATGGCAAGCAACCGTCTCCAGATAAAGGCTCAGCTATGGTGCTCTCAGATATTCCGTCCTTACTAAAGCCCATTTACATTATTTCTTATGGGCGTAAATTCCCTGCTTAAAGTGTCAGTTTTCCTGTCTCAATTATCCACGGATAACGAGGGCCCCCTGCATACAATAACTACTTTGCTTTCGAAACCAAGTACGATGAAATCAGTCAGTAAGTGATTCGTGTTACCATGCTTCGCATAAAGTCATTTATAACTGTCGACGCTGCCAAACTTCTCCCATCAGATCTCATGCAGTGCACTCCCACTAAACCTGTTTGTACGTATTTTACGCTTTACTTGTAAGAACTGAGGGTTTCACGGCGGTGACTATGGGTTGTGGCGCCGTGTAGATATTGTGCTAACCGACGTTTCGGAGGAACGTATCGCCTCCATCTTCAGGGTATAAGAAATCCGCGAGCGAGGAACCAGCGTAAGCAAGTGGCTGCAGCTTTACTTGTATTTTGCTGCTGATTTCACTGAACGTGCTACACAGAAATTCAGGCGTCCCAAGTTCCAGATCTCAAGGCCATTTTCCGTAAAGTTGGCAGTACTAGTATAACAAAGAATCCGTTCAAGACAAGGCCATTTGTAACACCTCGTAATATATTAGGTCTTACCGCCCCGTCCACCCTTCAAGCCGGAGGATTACGCACTGTTAGCTCTCCGCCTCTTCCTTCTGTATCTGGTGGCTATTTCGTACACCTGGAACCTAAGAATGTACTGACCACTTAACACGGAGGAGTTTCCAGACAAATCCAAATTGCAAGGTTTCCAAATGACACCATTTTAAACACTAACCAGTGTTCGAGAAGCTGATACTCTTTGGTTGCTTGGGAAATGACGAGTCTTATATGTGGCCCCATGGTTTATTATCGTGCTCACATAGCCCACTACCGGACCCTGAGCCATGTGAATCCAGTCCACACTCTCAAACCGACATTGCCCCTGTTCAAATCTCGGCCAGGACACCGACTATCTTTTAGTTTTCGTGGTCTCTCCCAGTTCCTACACGCAAAGTCCAGGATAGTGCCTTAAATTAAGCCGTGCAAGTTTCTTTCAGGTGGCTTATCATTAATTATTTATTATTAACTGATCATTCGACGAGTTACTGATAGCGTCGTTAAATCAACTACGAACTACTACCGCACACTCACAACCCATTTGAAGTTTAAAATAAACCCCTTACAAAACACGAAACGTTTATGAGAGGTCACAGAGCGCGACACAATAACAGCAGCAGGACTACTGTCAGAAGTTCGCGCCCCGCCATATCTAAATGCAAAACTGCCCACTAAGTATTCTTGGGGCTACGAGCTTACATAAACTGTATCTAGTTGTTATTTAACCATTTATGGTACAGTGGTTACAATATGTACCATCTACTTTAACATACTAAACTCTACATTCTGC